CCAGGAGTAGTGGTGGTGGCAGTGGCGGTATGATCGCCAGCCGCCCTGGGTCTGTGGTAGACAAGTAAGAGGTCTTTGCCCTTTCATTTGCCAACTCCTTTGCCAACTTTAGCAAAATTCTTACTCTGCTCTTTGGCCACTTTAAAATTTCCCATCCCCTTTGTCTGTGATCTAGCGTCACTTTATGCATGTCTCCTGCCAAAACTGTCTTGTTTGTCTGTTTTCCTATCTCATAACCCTTCACACTCACCGAAAATTCTCCTGCGGCCCTGCTCTCTGTAGATTTATTTTTCTCTTCTCTTCATCTGCTTTTCGTTCTCCTCTCGTCGGGCCTGTAGCTCTTGCCATCTGTCAATGGGTTTAGGCTTGCAATTCCACCGTCCAAACACTAATGTCTATCTTCTCGTTTGTAGACATTCCCTGCTCACACTGTGCTTCGGTTGACCTAGCAACACGTGCCAGATCCCAGACTGTCCTCTGCCACAAAGTCATTTGGGATATCTTTTTTTACCTTCCGAAATGTACTTTGTTCTGGTGTCTATTTTCCAGAGTTAGGCTGGTCCGTCTGCAAATTGACCAGCCCGTCTCCCTTAACCTCGTTCAAGTGTCTATTTGGTACCATGCCTGGCCCACTTCACTCCCCCACCAAACGCTACTGTCTGCACACGTCTTATAGTTTCACTTCTTCGCGTAAGAGGTGCATATCCATCTCGTTCGACCAGCATACTCTGCGTTTTCACCCCGTTCCCTCTTGCCCACAGTCTCGCTTTCAGCTGAGTCATCCCCCATGCCGTCGTGCCGCTCTCCTTATATCATCACTTGGTACCATCCTTGTCAAGCAGCCCAGCTCAATACCTCTTCGTGAAGGAGTGTCCTATGCTTGCCGGCCACTCCGATTATGGGAAGAGCACGCCTTCGACACTAAACTCAAAATTTCACACTTCACACTTCACATTTCCTATTTCACACTTCACACTTCATTTTTCATATTAAACACTTTATTCTTCACACTCCCCACCCTTAACCCTTATGCTCCATATTCTGCATTCATTCCACTTCCCCCAGTCGGCAAGATGTGTGCGGTGTGGCGGTTTATTAATGCCACGTCGGCCACTTTCTCCACTGGCCCATTATTAGAGGCCCAACAATGTCCATTTTCCATGTTCACCTGTCCGGCACTGGTAGGCAGCTGATATCCCGGCCCGCCCTGGAGCAGCCTCATCAAGACCTGCAATCTTATGCAGTTTGACGGGTTGGGCTAAATCCAACCTGAGTAAATACGCTTCTCTCAAGCATCCTCTCGGCGAACTTCTGACAGACCCCGGCTAAACAGATGGCGTGCTGACGAGCTGGAATTCACACGCTTACTCATGGGCAGACTCGTCTTCTCAACGATTGATGTGACCTGTAGATTCGGGCCACGAGCCCCTCAGGCTGGTTGCCCCGACTGTCTGCATTTCCACATCTGGTCATTGTAGTTGCATGGTCACACCCAGTTCTACAGGCCTTCACTACCCGAACGGTGCAGTGGACGAACACTGGAATCAATCAGATTAATGGGGGAATGTTATCGGACGAGGGGAAGAAGGATGATGATGATGATGATGATGATGAGTAATGCATTTTAGGCTTTCAAACTGATTGAATTGAACAGGCACAAAAGTTGTGAGAAAATTCAACTACCAGTCCTTCATCACCTTAAACGAAATAGACTGAATGATAATCTTGTATCCGGACTACTGGTAGTCTCGAAGGCCTACTCATAAACCGGAAATAAATAATTTAGTCGATTGCTACAACAAATAGAACATGGCTACGTCGACACTCTAACCACAGAATGTGATATGGAAAAGCCGTAGGCTTTCTTGAAATTCCCTTCTTCGCTATCACCCAAAGACACTCGTGACAGTCTGGCGTAGTGGTTAATCTGCGAGATCATACGCTGCCCTACCACAAGTCGGGCACAAGTCCTGTTGGCGATGCCAATGAGACACAGGAGAGTTCATATATGGAAGGGGTCTGATCTCATTTTCGCATCTTGATCGAGTTGTCATGGGGACTTAGTTGGACGCACCTTGTTCGAAGTCTTCTGCTATAGTAGTTATCATAATTCCCAGCGTCGAACCATGGACTTGGTACATTCCAAGACGTTTCGCCGGCATTGTAGTCGACATCGTCAGTGAGCCTTGCCATTCTCAGCACCAAGCTTCAACTCGTCAACGCGACAAGACCACCGATGCTTGATCTTCATATCTGCACATTTGATTGTAGTAAAATTGAGCAATAAATCCTTCATCACCTCAAACGGAATGGGTTGAATATAACTCTTATTGCCAAATCTCCTTCCAACATCACTGTGGACTTATTCCCTTAAGTTGACGTCATTTGCGTACATCATTATGCCTAGAACATACTGAATTATATAGGTTCACATTTCGCAGGGACTCAGATGAGTTTTCTGCCTCTTTCATAACCGACTCGGAAGCATGTCCAAGAGCTGGTATCCCCCACGTTACTTGTTTGTGCACATGTTGTCGATATAATGCTAACTCATGGGTACAATCTCGTCACAGGCTCCTTCGCGTCCATATGCAAAATATAATATAATATATATATATATATATATGAATTGGGTTTAGAAGAATTCCGTAAGGATTTATTGAGAAATGGTTTGTAATTTAATAGGAATACTTTGTTATGCATCAAATGGCCAACCAAATCATGCGATGCCTCAGTAGGCTCTCAAAGATGGATATAAATAATGAGTCAGATTGCACTGGGCCACTTTTAGTTTCTTGCTTGTTGTATTCTATGCATTTTTTTCATAAAATTTGCTTTCTTATTTTTACGATGTCTGTCTCATGATAGACGAAATTCTTGCACGGGTTCATTGGGGTGGCAGAACGAGGAACTGAGAGCTTCTTCGCACAATCCAACAGTATTCACTCCTTCGATTTCCGATTAGACCAATTTACGACTTGTTTCTAACCCACTTTTCCTTAGAAATAAAAAGTCATATCACTTTTAATATTCTCACCCTGAGGGAAAATCCTCTTTACTGAGAGGATAAAGCAACATCCATCTTAAAGACGATTTACTCCTTAAAAGCAATACACACAGTTGTTTGGGGTAATACATAAACTGGCACTCTGTCATTTGTAGTATCCTCCTTAACTTTCTAATTGTGTACTTGTCATCTTGACAATTATTGCAGTTGCACGATTTAGGTGGTCCGACAACCACATGGTAAACATTCACGCAAAATTATCCATACTTCCATAAGTTTGATTGGAATTCGCCGGTATGATTCACATGTAACTTGTATCTGGTCTTCACCCCATTCCACCACCCCCAAGGTACGAAAAACTTGCCAATCCTCGTGTACTCTTACCTTCTGCCACCCTCATCATCTCTCGCATATGCGATGTCTACGTCTGATATGAATTCGGAGGCGGGACAGCTTAACACTTTTTCCCTTCTATAGAATGGTTTAAACCATATTTTTACACTCACCGTCATACACATTCGCATACCTCTTTGAACATGGTAGCAAACAAAGATAAATGCTCCTCCAACAGTCCCAGAGGACGACAGTCATGACAATATGAAAAACCTCGAATGAGTACGAATGAAGTACTAGTCTATCCTAATGAAGAATGTATGCTACATTTACATATTACTTGGAGGAATGCTTTCATATCACTCTGCTAGAGTTCACACGAATTTACCATTGTCACGCTAGTTGGAAAGTTCTCTTTTGACATGGCTTCTTTTCAGGAGGGTTTGGCTGGTCGACATGAACTAGCCAACAGATTATACATTGGCCTTCAGCTAGTACTCACTTCTGGAATGAAATGGGCTTGTAGCTGGGCTCAGCTTATGGGACGCTTGGCCTTAGATGTGGTGGCTGGGATGAATATTTGCCATTGTTGAGCTTGGTTAAATTTCTGGTAAAAGTGTTTGGTGAATAGGTTCGACAGTCGATCTGACCAGAATACGATGGCGGATTTCTCTTGACCAGCTGTCAATTGGCTTTACTGGACAATTCTTGTAGACGCTGTTTCCTGGGCAATCTCCTTCGATTCCGGTTAAAATATGCTAAGCTCTCGTCTATTGTTTAACTCTTTAGCTTGAATACGGTTGTAAAAATGATATCCTGCTCTGATGATATCCTTCATACGATGCAGGAAAGCTTAGCACGTTTTCACAGGAATCTAAGGGGATTTACTTGGAAACAGCGTTAACAAGAAGGTTCCTGTAAATTCAATCGACAGATGGTCAAGAGGAGTTCGTCTTTGTCTTCTGGTGCGATCGACCTTCGATACTCTTCACTAAAGACCTTCACTCGAAATGGAAGTAAGCCCAACAAATTAGAAACAGGAGATTCTTCAAAACCCAACTTTTATTCTTATATTTACCACCCATATTAGCGCGAAAGTATGGCTTTCGACGAAAGTTGCCTATTGCAATTTAATCCAACCTCTAGATGAACTGGGTTTCTAATTTCACACTGCTAGAAGCTAAGATTTTGCCTCCATGCCACGACCATTTCACCGTGGAGATGTCACATCTGACTTCATGGGCTTTTGCGCTATGGCAAATCCTATAACATTATTATTTGGTCAAAATATTTGCGAGATGAGAACATACAGAAGTGTTGAAGAGATTTAGAAATCTCGAAAATTTGGGTAGAGTTCGGGATCTGCATAAGACACTTCTTCAAGAATATAAATGGCATTTAAGTAGCAGATTTTTCAAGTAGTAAGGCAGACTTGGAAAATTAAACAAACACCACTTAAATGTTTCCACAGAGGTATGGTCCATTTTGCAGGCTTGAGATAGTAAACTGATCATGAGAATCATAAACGAATCATAAGTGAATCATAAACGAATCTCTAAAACGTCTGAGCAGAAGTCCCCGCTTCCATTGACTTGAGAGTTTTGTGCCGAGTTAGAATGCCAATTGAGGGATCAGTAGTTTTGTCCCAATGGGGCAGTCAAACCGCAATAGATGAAGAACCTAGGGCTCTTCTCAAAGGTAGACCCATCCTCAAGCAATTGCCCCTTTGAGAATCGTCAGGTGATTTTGTTGAAATATACACGAACAAAGAATTTATGAACTAGCCAGAAGACCTGGCATGCGCTCAAGTGGCATCTAGCTTGCATATTTATAAAAACGAGCCTAAATTTGGCCACTGTCCAGTGAGTTCGTTCAAACATTGAAAGGAGCAACTCCTTTTACCATGAACTTGATTTGTTTACTATTCAATACAAGGTAATTCGAATGGATATAAATGAACCTGTATTTCATAATTTAAGCAATCTTATCCTGTCAGTTGATCTACCCAGAATGTCTTGTGGGAATATGCTTAAGTTTGCTGATAGAGCTTTAGAATGTGGGTGAAAAACAATCGCCCACCCCGGATTCCGGAGATATCCTTCTGGATGCGTCCTATAGACTTGGTTAAATAAATGACTAAGTTAAACCGATTGCTCGTTGGATGTGCAGTACGGTTGAATTTATAAGTTATAGATATGTCAAGATATTGAAACCAAATTTCAAGCCATACACTGATCGAGAGGACTGAATTTGTTCGCCTGCATACCCAAATTTGCTTGGTTTTTGGTGTTCGTCACGAATTCACCTGGCCGATCCGAAAAATATGTAAATAAAATCAAAAACCAGATACACACAGGCATGTA